TATATGTATGTATGTACTGTATGTATGTATTCCAAAGGCCGGATAGGCAAAAAACCGACGCAATATATAGTTTTAAGCCATGATACACTCGCACTTTGGGCAAAAAAATAGTGTGAAACACTTCCCAACAAGCTGGTGTATCGTATATAATAATGACCAGGCGATAATTGTTTGTTTCTTTTCTTAATTTTATAATGTTTATATTAGTAGGCCTATGAATATTTTTATGAGGTTATGCCTATATATTGTTTTATGTGAGCATTAATTTCCGTCGTTAAAGAATGAATAAAGTTTTACTTTTGACTTTTTTTTAACACTTTGGTTTGTCTCGACATATATTTATGCTTTATGTATGAAAATATATCCACCCCATCAAGATTCGAAGCCGGATATCCAGTTGTATATTATGTGGAAACGCTGTATCCAACTGGGTCACTGGGAATTCGCACTTTCTTTGAAACAAAGATAAATGTAACGACTTATACCGGTACCGTTTATCATGATACCATATTTTCCTTTCACTTTGTGTTAAAAATATAGGCCCCTAATTTCATACTTCACTTAACAGCCATATGCAAAAGCTTAATATCCTCATCTGTTATTCTGTTCAAGTACATATTTCTAAATTACATGGGAGTTGTTATGCTGTTGATATTTCGTTGGAATTATTATTTTCCAATTGCATTATATGTGTTACGAGTGGGCCACAAGAGTGCTTGACCGTAAAAGGATTGCAATTATTTGCAGCCGGAAAGATTCTCGATGATTCAAATAAGCTATTATAAGCTGGATATTATAGACCTAGAATTATCGATAATAGCTGAATGCATCAGAAAATGCGTCTTTGTGCCCCGATTATAGTTTCAAATGCTACAGACCCTACTTCCCTGTTCGTTTATCCAGAGTAACCCAATTGCTTGGTCATGTATTTCGTTTTTGTAGCTACAGTACAATTGGTACCAACTTTGTGTATCAATGTTTATTGGTCTTGTATTTTATCTCTGGAATCTGTAGTAATACTATCTAAATACTATACTCTTTAGTTTCGAAATTCATAATTATAGACTTCTCGGTTTATTACGATTATACAAAACACTACCATTGTTTATTCTATTGCGGCTTATACAGTTCCTGTTTTACAGTACAAAGTATATAGGCCTATTTAACCGTTAGCCAACCAAAAAACACCTAGGTATGCTGACTATTTGTATAACATTTGTGATTATAGGGTCTCTTACTCGCGGTTTTTAGAGTAATCGAGCATCACGATCCGGCATCGATTTTCCAAGCCCTTTTTTCATTCTTTAGGATCTCTTACTTGCGGTTTTTAGAGTAATCGAGCATCACGATCCGGCATTGATTTTCCAAGCCTTTTTTCATTCTTTAAAAAATAACTGTATAACAATCTTTTTAAAATGATTTATAAATACAGTTCCTCAGTCTATCTACCAGATAGGTTGATTCAGTTTGTTCAACCACTAAAATGGCGCATTGTGTAGCTTCCTGGTACACCTACTGAAGGGGATAAAGGTAAGCGTCCGCATTGGCACGATGGACAATGCACACCCATACATACTCATTATGATATTAATAGTGCTAAACACGTGTTTTTAATATTGTATGTGAACACTATAGGCCAATAATTGTGATGAATAGCGTCCCAGGTATGACGCCGCCTAAAATAACATTTCGCACCCTGACAACCATACATTATATTATAAAAAAAAAAGTATACAGAGTTAGTGGGCCTAACATTAAATTACTTTTAAACCAGAACTGTAGACTGTGGGCTCAATTAGTTATCTCCTGAGACTGACTTTAATTAATTCTACCTCACCTGTATTTTGCAGACGGTGCTACCTCGTGTTGATCATAAATGACACGCAGGACCTCATGCACATTTACAGCTATTAATTTCTACAATTCATAAAACAGATGTTATATACACAGCTTTAATAATAATCTAGCAGTACTATAAAGCACTGCTTACTACTGTATTACACCTCCAATAAAAAATGTAAGAACAAAGGTGCATTGTACCTGAACTATTCCTCCATGATTGAGACCAAGGCTCGAGCCAATACGTTAATCAGCTGTTCGGTGGACTTCGAAAAAAAAGAAGATAAGCTTGTGTTCACACAATAGGGTATATGCAACGAATTGTGTGCAAACAATATGTTTGTATAGTAGATTCTACACTGCTACAATGTATATAAATTGATACTTGAAATATTATTCACTATTATAATAGCCCATAGTACTCAAACTTCGGTTTGTGCACTTGGGCTATTTTATATTAATATTTACTGTATCTGTTTATTATAATAATAATAATAATAATAAAGTATTGCTTAAAGGTTTGCATGGCGAAGAAATAATATATATGTTGAAGCTTGTGGTACACCACATAAGTAGTTCTGAAAAGAACTGTGGTATTCTCCAGATATTATTCTCCTGAAGACGATTGAAGCATCTCAATCGAAACATCGAGACTTTCTCAACAACAACAGTTCTTTTCAGAACTACTTATGTGTTGTACCGCAAGCTTCAACATATATAATAATAATAACAATAACATTAATAACAATAATTATAATAATAATAATAATTATTATTATTATTATTATTATATTACATTTTTTTCTGTTCCAACAACACGTAGCTCACCAATTACAGATGAAACGATGCTTTATCAAGAGAAAATTTCCCATGCGATTAAAACCGTAACGGTACTAGGTTTGGTCTACAGGAGTGCGTGCTTCTCAAACAGGTCCTTCCACTCCAGTCATCAAATAAGTTTTTTACTTCATTTTCCTCCACTTCTTGCTTATTTAGTTAAAAAAATACGGTATGAATTGTATTAATATATTTTGTTCATTACTGGAAATAAAGATTATTGTATTGTATTAATTAATGAATACTAACATATGATTACTTTACTTTAATATTATACAGTAGGCCTACAGTAATTTATAATAAACTACAATTCAATTTATATAACGACTACTTATACCAATATATTGGATTTTATATAAATTAAACTTATACATAATGGTAATTAAACGGGAACACAGTATTCCCTACATTATTAAGGTTAATAATTTTTAATCTTGAATCAATTATATATATCCGGAGTTTGGTTTGACCTAGGCAACCATTGCTAAAAAGGTACACTTCCATCAAAAGGCTTCTTCTTCGAATGGAACAGATCTACTTTATTCGAAGCACGGACTCCTGTAGACCAACCCAGTACAGTTACGATTTTAATCTTACGAAAAATTTACTCATCAAGCAACTTAATCACAAGCTATGAAATAAATATTATAAGTATGGTTTTTATGGGAATACAGTAGGCAGTGTAGGACGAGGACTATGACTGTTCCTCAATGGACTAGCTCCACTTTTTCCTTTCACTTATCAGCACTTCATGACCAGTATGACTCTTTTTTCAGTATCTCTTTAGTTTATTTTAATTTGCAAATTTCTAGCGCATAGAGACCTATGTATTTTGCGCTTTACAAATCCAAATTATTATTATTATTATGACAGTTAACATTAATATTATTAAACACATGGATTACCTTTTTAAATCTTTAACTTATTGTTATTGCTTGTTGTTTGTTTCTATTGCAAGTGTTATGGCCTTAGCAGCTGCTGCTGTTCCATGATTCAAGACAAACAAGCACGCAACATAAGTTTTCGACGCACGCGACAGAATACATGTGTGACACAGAACCTCAGACCATTATAAAGGTGTGACCACCTGATTCCCTGGTAGAATTAAAAGTATAGTGAGAGCATAGAAGTATAAATTTTATACCTCCATGGTGAGAGTGATTGTCAAAGAGAATAAATCTGAACTCCATTATTCTCCAGATTTTGTATTGTAAAATCAGTTGCAATTACAAGGTTTGGTTGAAAGCACATAATATGAATAAACAAGATGGCTTAATTTCTTAGCTTTAACACATTTTGTTGATAAAACCACAAAGGTGATCTATAAAACGTTTGTGCTTAATATTATTATTAATAGATTTAGTAGGATCATTGTTGGAGTGTCATTAATCACTTTGCTGATGATAGTGTTTTACATTATCATTAGAATATTTATACAGTATCTTAATAAAATCACAACTGATTTCAAGCAGACCAAAAAAAAAAAAAAAAAAAAAAAGCAGGCTAGCTGTTTTGTTAAATATCTCACAAATATGTTTCTGCAGTATAACTGCCATCTTCAGTGGTGTATTACAATGCTTACATTGCAATTACAACACGTAAATTTAACTCCTTCATTTAGATTCATTTGCTCATCGTTATTCATGCATTTCTTATCAAGTATGGTTTAATTCCTTCAACTTGAATGCTCCACCTTACATCTGTTATGTATTTCTTCATGTTTATTATTGTTGTTTATATTGCTTTCAAATAAAGTCCCTTTGAAAACAGTTTTTTAAAGTTTTTAAAATTGTTTTCATATTGTTTCTGAAAAATTAAAAAAAAAAAGGGATGGTAGCTGTTTTCATTTAGATCTTAGAAATTGTTTTCCGCCTTTTCCTCCTGTTCATATCATATGCTTGCTGTTTTCCAAGCGGTAGGTCACAATTAGCATTCTTTCTGTCAGCTTTGCCTTTAATGATGCGTCTCACGTGTCGTATCGCCTCACTCGGTGGCTCAACCTGTAGCATCTCTTTTAGCAGTCGTTTTGTGGATGGTTTTGTTGGTTTGAATGAAGCAATGCTTTTTGAATTACCATGTGGTCTAACAGTAAATAAAGTTGGTGGACCAATAAAATAATACTGAATCAAAACAAGATTATTCACAATCGCATTGTATTCTTTCACATGGCTAATAATGCAACGGAAATTTTCATTTGAAGAGTTCTTCCGATATATGCGTGTCAGTGTGAAGTCTGTGTTACTAGTTTTAGGCAAAACTTTGACACACTCATACATGTCACCATTTTTGTTGAGCACGAGTCCTGAGGTGCGCCTCCCTGAGCTTATCCACGTCATATCATCATAAGTGATATCTTCAAATAAACAAGTGCTGGATAATGTCACAAGGAATGCAGCATTTTCTTTGCAGCTAAACGGTCGCTTACTGCACGTCACAGGGTGCTTGTCAAGTAGTATCCTTACAACGTTGAATGCCGTCATTCCTCTGCTGTTGCCTTTTTGAAAATATGGCATTGCTTCGTCATTTTGAAATAAATCAATTTTTGGTTCTCTAAAACTTGGAATAAAGATTAATTCTTTCATTATTCAATGAAGTAACTTTTGTAAATTTGTTTTGCATTAGTAGGTTACGAGGTTCATCAAATCCCAAATGATTATTTGATTAGTAATTTGGTTCCAAAATATGAAATTGTTATACTGCAGTAAGCATCATCTTTTATGTACTCAATATCATAATCCCCAATTTGACAATATTTATATATATTTTTAAATATAATGTTGGTTTACTAATCCCTGGTGATGCACACTTAGATACTTACATGTGGCTGCTCTGCCTTCTTTCATTACAGATGCCTTTCTTTTCTTTCTCCTTTAATAGTTTATGGTTGTGGAAATCAGTACACATTGCATCATTACCAACAACAGGAGAAGAAATTCTAATAAAGTAATATTGAACAGTAAAAAAATTATTCAAGAATAAGTCAATATTAAAAGAAATGTGATAATATCTTTCATCTAGTATTCTTTTTTTCAAATTTAAATGAGGTCATGTTATAGCATCACCACCACATCGTCAATTACTGGTACCCTTCATCACCACCCACACCATCGTCATCAATTAAATTGATTACACCAACACCACCACCATCATCTCACTGCCACCAACACCACCACTGTCATTATTTAAATGAATTTCATCACTTCACAAACATCCCCACCACCACTATCAATATCTTGCCTTATTTTCAGTTTCTTTGATTGTTTTGTCTTTGGTTGTTTTTTCTTTGGTAGTTTCTTGTCGTACTTATCAGGTACATGTGGCACATCCTTTGAATTTCTTTGAATCCCTAAATTTGTTAACACGGTGACTGCTTCCGTCTCAGCAGAATCCCTGGATACAAATCAAATGTCAATGTAAAGATACAGGGACAAAAGTGATGGCATCCATAACACAATAATTATGCTTCATAACAAGTCATTTGTAAGCATAGACATCTCTGGATACAAATCAAATGTCAATGTAAAGATACAGGGATAGAGGTGATGGTACCAATAATACAATAATTATGCTTTATAACAAGGCACTTGTAAGCATAGACATTTTGTTTTAACAAGTTTGGATTGAAATATGTATGCTTACCTTGACAAAACCTAGAATTAGTATATGGAATAAAATTTGTGGACCTACCTTAACTCCAAAGTGGCTTGGATGTTTTGAACATCAAACGGAAAGGTTTGAGTCTTTGTCAGAGGAATAGCAACTTTGTTTCTACTCTGGTCAGGCTGTTATAACAAGAATAAATTTAAATTATTACTAATTGCTGTTGGGTGAGATCAAATAAAAATTAAAATGATAATAATTAAATAAAAATATTTCAATGAGTAACAGAGAGCAACAAACAGCTAGGCTAATAAATGTAGAAAGAGTATTATTGGTGCACTCATACCTTAATACTGGTGAAGTTATTATTGGAATCCAGTGCTAGCATCACTATACAGGATAAATCCTTCCTAGTTAATGGCTCAATCATCATTGTTGGCTGTTGACAAAAATATATAATCTCTATTAATGTTTGATAAAAATATAAGGGAAATATAATAAACACTGTAATTTTACTAGGTAATTAAGTATTATGTAAAACAGCAACTTGCATGATTACATAGGCAAAAACATTATTATATAGTCTGTCTTCTTCAATAATCTTGAATTTATTTATTTATTTCCCTCACATCCAACAGCAAGTACACTAGGCACTTACAGGATGAAGATGATGCTTTATAAACTAAGTCTCTTTATGAGGCTTAGGGTGTCACTGGAATTGAACCCAAGACCCTGGGATCAGAATGCAAGCATCTTAACCACTGAGCTATTCAACTCCACTTTGAGTGTCATTTTTTGCATGCTTGAAACCCCAAAAAATTAAAATTAAAATATTTAAATAAAAATGTTTCAATGATATGTATGTCCTGAGTAATCTCTATTCATGTTTGTTTAAGTATATAAGGGAAATATGGAAATATAATAAACACTGTAATTTTAATAGGTAATTAAGTATTATGTAAAACAGCAATTTGCATAATTACATAGGTAAAAACATTGTTATATAGTCTGTCTTCTAAGTTTTGAATTTTGTCTTGCTTGAAACCAAACATATATACCAAACATGTTAATATTGTGGCTTGAATTAATTTACTACTGTACCACCACCATCAATACCAGGAAAAGAAAAAAAGTACAAAAAAAATCCCTCTGTAACTGTTACTGCCTTTACACTTACCATGCCTTCAATAATAATTTCAACATGTACATTGTAGATGTGACAGAGTCGTTGAAGAATCACATGATCTCCGTCTGTTTGTGCTTCGCTCATTCTCAACAGGTACCCTTCCCAGCTGCCTTCAGTGATAAACATGGATAAATCATAACCTTTACCATTTACTAAAACCTGTCAACCAATGAATTGAAATGTTATCAAAATTAGTACAGTACATAGTTCTTTTGATATTTTTGCAGTGTGAAATAAGAGGTAGATTTTGGTCTACAATTTGAGAGTATATAATATAAACAGGCTCTTCTTACGCTTCACATTATTACCCCCAGCCACTGGATCAAATACCTATTTCACATCCTCAGCTGTCAAATGAACTAGAATCCCCACTTGAATCCTAATACGTAGATTTCATCCCCAGGGTAGAGAAAGGCAATACAGATGAAGTGCACAAAGACACAATTGAAATGCACAGCAAGCCCCAAAACACAGACACCAGGGTTAAAAGCCCGGACCAACACCGATATGCCAACCACACTCCAAAATACATGTACAATCTCATCCCTTTTTATTTAAAAAATGAAATTAAATATAGAAATGGAAAAACTCATAAATTATCGTCATTTGACCCAAAATTTGTATGATTAGTATGTTTAAAGCAATTATTACATGGTGAGTATATGTCCAACATTCCTGTTATTGGGAGAATGAAATCAGGTAACAATCCATACCTGTGGTGTTTCCTTCAAACTGCTGACAGCCTGGACTCTCAGCTGATTGGGGTCCAATGAGGATATGTTATTTAAATGAAGTTGCTCCGCAAAAGACTTAAACAAGCTGTTATGATTACCATCCAAAGAAATATTGCTGTCTTTGTGTGGCAGTACCTTCCTTTTGACTGATGACATTATTTCTGAATAAATATTATATGAATATAAAAAAAAAAGAAATTCAAACACAACATGATATTTCCAGTCACATGCAAAATATTTGAACTTTAGGCTTTAACACTATGGAACAAGCTATGTTTCAAGAAAATACAATTTAATATTTACAAAATATGCTTAAATGAATGATGAGACTGCTTACCGACCTGGTAACAGATGGAATGGGTTTATATGACTCTGCACTAGTGCCTTCTCAGTGTCAAACATCATACCACACTGATCACATATGAACACCTTCAAAACAGAAATTGATATATGAACACCTTCAAAACAGAAATTGATATATGAATACCTTTAAAACAGAAATTGATATATGAACACCTTTAAAACAGAAATTTATTCAACTTAACAGCAGGGTCCCAACAATTACATAGATAACAATACAACATGGAATAATTATATAAAAATATAAATTAGTATATATTTACATATTATTTATATGTAAATATATACTAATTTATATTTTGTAAACAGAATAAATGTATTCCTTAAAATAATTATTTTATAGTTACAGACTACTGGAATTGTAGCTATCCTTCATTCAGAATTAGAGTGCACCCTCAGTTAAGAAAATGCTGAGCAAACACATGGATAGATAGATTTGTTATTGTAATAGTTTATTAGTATAAAATTTTAACTACCAACAAATTTTTTTTATTATTATTGTCTGAAAGTGATGTTTGTTTGGAAGAATATAATTGACTCACCATGATGCAATCTCTTTTTAAATTGACCACCTACTATAATTTTATTAAATAGAAGAGCAAATCATCCATAGCATTAAATGTCCTGCTGTATTTCCAAACACACTTCCAAAATGTTTATACGTCTATATGCAAACCCTCTTTTGATAGAAATATTGGGCCTGTAAACAACAACAAAAATTAACTTTTTTTATGTCTTTTTGGGAGTGTTGTTTTGTCTAGGTTATGCCCTTTCTCTATGGCTATGCACTTGATCCCAGAAAAGATCAAGACTTAACCGATGCTAACCGGAGTACACAAACACAGATCTCCAGTTGGTGGTGATGGTGTAACCCCATACTTTGGTTTAGGTGCTAGCTTGGTGCATTTTTTTTTTTTTTTTTTTTGGTTCTGTATTTATCCATTTTCTGTTGTCTTCTTACCTTTTGTTGAGCATATATATAGACCTTGTTTATTTGCGCTATAGATGGGACTATATATCCACAGGGATGGAAAAATTGTGTGAACGCACGACCGGCGGTCGGAGGTACCATAAATGTCCCGAGGCATTTTGGGGAAAAAAATTCAAAAAAATAAACTGCTAGTGCTAGGCTATATAGTGTACAGATTTCATTTAATGCCGGGGGAATTTATCAAGACAATTTTCATGGTCGGAGACACAAACCTTTTTTCCCATACCCGTATATCTATCTATAAATTAAAGGAACAAGTCAAGTCAGTTACAGGGTACAAACAGGATAATTATTATTTACAGCTGCTCCATAAATTTCTGAGATCCTTAAATGCCCATTCCGTTAAGGGTTTATCACAAAACTACCCACTACACGGAGGGGGGGGGGGGGGGGGGGAAAAGATAGGGGGATGCATAGCAGTAGCTTCGCTCGAGTGTAGGCCTAAACACTGACGATTCACGCTATTCTATGCTATAACCATGGCAGTCCAAGGCGGCCCGGGTCGTATCGTAGGAAATCCTAGGCCTAGCTTAATTGTATGTAGGGGCCTAGCCAAAATTACCTTCAATACTAAAGGCTAATCCGTGTAGCATGAACAAAACAAGTTCATACTTCATAAAAAAAAAAACTCATTCTTTGAAAAAAACATAAGAATTTACTACCTTTTCTCAAGTTTATAAACTCCCGCGAGTATTATGGAACGCGGTTACTGCCTTTGGTGGCTCTTTTCCGTTCGGCGCATTTGTTATTCGGCCCCTTTTCGGTGCTTTTACATTACGTTCGGTGCTTTTTACATTACGTTCGGTGCTTTTTACATTACGTTCGGTGCTTTGAACATTACGTTCGGTGCTTTTTACATGACGTTCGGTGCTTTGAACATTACGTTCGGTGCTTTGAACATTACGTTCGGTGCTTTTAACATTACGTTCGGTGCTTTTACATTACGTTCGGTGCTTTGAACATTCCGTTCGGTGCTTTTACATGACGTTCGGTGCTTTTTACATTACGTTCGGTGCTTTTTACATTACGTTCGGTACTTTTTACATTACGTTCGGAGCTTTGAACATTACGTTCGTTGCTTTTACACTGTCCCCCTACGACAGTGTTGTCTCAATCGGCCCAACTTTCGGCCCCCCCTTCCGGCCCCCCTTTTGGAAATTTCTGGATCCGCCCCTGGCTTTGTAATATTTTTGATTTTATTGGAGGCAATAAATGTAATCTTGTCTCTTGCCTGCTCGATTTTAGTCCGTCCAGGCAGCCATGGACTCTTAAGTAGTGCGCACACCCTCTATCTGTTCCTAATCTAAGTCAACCACCCTACCATTTACATTTTTTCTTTCTCTCTAGTAGGATCTTCAGGACCAAAAAAGAAAAAAAAAATGAACAGCCCTCACTCACAACTGTAAATTATGGTGTTACGCATTACATTTTTTCTATATATTTTTTTTTTTATTTTCCTCACATCCAACACTCGCCACTTACAGGATGAATCATGCTTTATAAAAAAGTCTCTTTATGAGGCTTGGGAGTGGAGTTTTTTTAGTCGTGAGAAAAATTCCTGCTCAGTGACAGCAATGGAAACCAGGATCCTGGGATCAGAAGGCAAGCATCTTAACCACTGCTATTCAACTCCACTCCAATGTTTTTATTTGTCATTTTTCTATTTTCTCATCATGATAAAAAAAAAAAAAAATTAAAATTTCGTATCAGTCCCAAAAATATCAAATCGTCATTAAAAATCCAAAATCTTGGGATAAATCCCAGTGAAAGCGTTCACATTGGCTACCGCATATTCACAGTACAGTATTTCACACTGGATCTCCGTATTTCATCACATATATCCTGACATCCGATTGGATAGCCATGAAGCAAGTTATATTTTTAGCAATGACGTAAACGTGAGAGTGTTGATATAAAAACAACTCTGTGTTTGTGGTTGTCACACACGCTTTACAATGTAGATACAATCATAAGAACATGGAATAAAGACGTTAAATACTGATTTTCAAAACCAATCTTGAAATAGTTGTAATATTGTATCTCCCAGATGACGAATAAAATCATAATGCACAGGCGACAACAATCGACGAATTCAACGGCGTTTTCCTACAGCTTTTTTGAATACCGGCCTCCCTGGCCGCCGGAGAAGCTCTCGCAAAGTGGGGATTATAGCGAAGAAAAACACGAACCATGTAAAAACTCGTGAAATACAACATGCAAAGAAACACATAGAAACTACGCCTTCGTATAATGTCTATATCGGAAAGAATTTTGGTGTTCGTTTATGCGATTATTTCAAGTTTCTACGCTCGATTGAGCAGGCAAGCGAGAGGGCGCTAGTACAATGCTCGTTCAACTGTTTTCGATCTTTTGCCTCCATGGAATTGTCGTCCTCTGCCAAGAAGCTCCAGACGTGCCCAAATGCTGGTGGGAATTCCGTAGAATCAGAAGTCCTCAGGTAAGAAAACGACTACAGTTGTTATAATGCGATTAAAATAATAATTATTTTAATCGCATTATAAAGTTCGTTGAATATATTGCCCAAGTTTTTGCTCGCATAAAATGCGCATTGCATTTAAATTGCACTTATTCAGGACAATCTTTTTTAAAAATGTAAACTTCTTTAAAAAATTGTATATATAAAAAGTGTATATAAAAACCAGTAGGTCCATTGATATATTTAAGATAACTTAGTATAAGACATACTCCAAATAAAGTGAGACTGTTCTCATTGGTTAACACTTTTGGAATATATGTTTGTAATGTTGGAATCTTTATTCATTCCTGATGATAATCTAATAAAAGATCGAAATATTGAATCAAAATGACTAGTCTCACTTTATTTGGAGTATGTTTTATACTAAGTGTATATAAGCCTATTAGAATAAGAACAAAAAAATGAATGCAATAGAAAGCTCTTACACTGTGTGCACTGGTTCGTTTGATCGACGGGACCGTCATGCTGTATGGATATAGACCTCATTGTCAATGGTAAAAGTTAAAATATCCTACAAACATTCCCTTAATACAACACTGAATTGATCAATTAAGATCAAGTTATCAATTACCTAGTGAGACACATTTATTTTATTTTATTTTATTAATTCCGGCAAATCAAATGACAAAAAAAACCTCGCAATACAACTTTGAATGCGCCATGGAGTGGCAAATTTTCGCTTATTTACAAACTTCTTATTTTTTTTAATTACCGGTCAATCAATTCAATGTATAAACGGCATGCGTTATGCATTTTTTTTAATTTTTCAATAGCTCAAAAGCATAGGCCCTAAGTAGACATAGGAAATTATCAGTATAGAAATTATTATTAAGTGATAATTTATTTAAATCTAGAAGCCTCAAACTTGAGTTTTTTTGTTTTGTTTTTTGTTTTTGTTTTTTTTGGGGGCCCAAAGGATTACGGTAAAGCAAAACCCGGTTTCCATAATCATAATTTTATCTCCATAGCTTTGAATTGTTGCATCGCTGCTTCGGCGCAGAACTTCTGAAGACCGAAATGGAAGTTGATTACTTCCCAACAGGTGGCGCCATTACAGATTACACCTGCCGTTTATTTGGAACCACACTCGGTGTGTCAGTTACGAGAGCCATGAAATACCGGGGCCAGTTCGATGTTGAAGATGCTAAGCGACTGCTCACAAAGAAACTAAACGGTATGTAACAAAAAGGGTAGGGACTCTTTTCGTATGTTCAGCGCGTATGCATAACAAGTCAAACAAAGAGAAACAGTATTATCATCATCATCATCCGGTAATCATTGTCTGTGAGGAACATTGGATAAATAAAAATAAATTTAATATAGATTCGTAATTTTCGTTTTTTACTATCTTCGGTTTACAGGAATCCTGAATGCGACACAAAATACACTGGAAGATTGGAAGAAGCAAGTATTGCATATTTGGGCGCCTTCACACAGTGTTGCTAAAACTGTTTGGAAAGTTTACGAAGATATGATTCACACGGATATTAAAGCAAACACTGTTGTCATGGTGACTATTACCGAATCAACTAGCGCGTACTGCTCCATGTTTGATAATCGTAAGAAAAGAACAATAGGCGGCTAGCATAGGAGGAGCAAGTTAACTAAACGTATTTAAGTTAACATCGGTGGCATTGAGGGTATGTGCGCCATTAGTCGTAATATTCCAGGGGACATTAAATTTTATAATTTGAAATGCTGGCTTGAACATATCAAATTGGAATTGTAAATAAAACATTATTTTCCTTTACTGTATATTGATAAAATATCAAGATTTTTTATATTGAATGAATGTATATTAATATATATATATATATATATATATCTGTCTCTTATACACATCTAGATGTGTATAAGAGACAGCCCTAATCATGTTTAGGAATTGTTTGCGTATCTATTATATATTCAATATTATGTACAGTATGCATATATATCTTGAAACTTTTTCCGTTAGTATTTTTTGTTTTTCATGTTTTGACTGTAATAAAGTACTAGTAAATTTCGGATATTTGCCATACGCCCGCAAGGTTATTTTATGCATGTAAACTATACTTAAGTACGTTGCTGTATGGAAGGTACAAAATTTGAGTACTTTTTTATACAAGTTGGGGAGTTGATAGATTGAGAGACTACAGCTAGAATATTGGGAAGATGTTTAATACATCAATTCTAAATTAGAATAATTATGATACGAAGAATATAATGCATTGATAAACATCTATCCAAGTACTATTCATGGCGCAAAAACAGTAACACTTACGAAAGCTTAGAAAACAACTCAAATAAACTACAGCTGCGTCATTGAAACTGCAATGGAATATGAGTGCTTTTGGAGAGTGTTAAAAGGCAAAGCTGTCTTCGTTATATTCACAGTCAATAGGTAACACATAGAAATACACATAGAATATAAAACATCATTTATTACGTATTCCTGATATATAGCTTTATATCCCAACCTATTAACTTTTCATTGTTTAGACTAAAAAAGAAATAAGCATGTGTACACACACTCATGGGTAATCCAAATAGTGCACTCACAACTCAATAGTACAAGTCTCCAAGGAAAATTTAGTTGTTTATAATTCTTGACAACTAAATACAGTTCGAAAATTTAATATCTTTTTAATATACAACTAATATACTGAAGATAAAACAATGTATAGAATCAGAAGGAATAGACAAATTTATAGATATTTTTTGACTAAACAATACAAGCACTGATGTAAGGTAGGGTTTCCTAAGATGAATAAGCAGAGATTAATATAATAAATAAAAAACTTAAAATCCCTTCAAACTGTGTTTTATAAATATCAAATTAATTTAAAAAAAAAAAAAAATTATAAATTTGAAACTTTTATAGTTATAAATGCAATGATAATTACAGGAAATATTTTATCAATCAATATTAAAACAAAATGTTAATTGCATGTTTGCATTCTATATCCATTCTGTGTCAATGTGTCCTTTCCGATTGTCCAGCACCAGGGGGCATTTACTATTTCATGCCGATCTTTGATACTTGTATTGTGATGTCTTAAAGCATTTATTTGCCTATGAGGAGCATCCCTCCAAATGGTATCAATGATACACCTGGCAATCACTTATTCTTTTTCTTAAATACAATACTAATTGTTTATCATTTTAATTTGACAGCTAATCTACTTGCTTCCCTACGCGACTCCCTCTGCATCTCCTTCTCATGCTTTCTACGCTGGTGTTCAGCAAGCCTTTGTTCGCGTTCAGCTTGTTTTTGTTGTTTTATGACTTGATCTGCCTCCCATACTAGATCATTACTAGACTCCTCATCCCAGGCATTTTCATTGCTGTCATCCCAGTTTGATAATTCAGGCTAGAAAAAGAATGTCAAACAAAAACTCACTCTCAGCAACAATCAATTAAACAAATTAATTTATCAATGTATGCAGAAAACCTGTTAAACAATAATATGGCTACAGTAATATCATTATCATTGACTATATTCTGATAAATTTCACTGACCAGTATGTAATTGGTAATGTAAAGATTTCTGTAATTTCTAACTGGTATGAATTGCTCTCGAATTAATGATTAGCATCAAACTTGGAGGGATTGGTTCAAAAAATATATCAGGATTTGGTTCCACATGTGGGGCATAAGTGATTGGTTACAATATTGTATTAAATCTTTTTAAAGTCATACTTCTAAACAAATTCATCATGAAATGTCAAACTTACATTTTCTGGCAAGACAACTGATGAGTTTACAGAAAGTCGATTAGAGAAAGCGCTATGATTTGGAGCTACCTCTATGCTCTGGTCCACCATCTTCTTACGAATAATTTTCTTTGATGTAAAAAGAAGAAACACATCACTCACCAAGATTTAACAGGAAATAAAGGAGTAATCACGACTAAAGTTAAGATTATAAACAATTAATATTATTTGATAAAGATATTACTTTAAAGGTACAATTTCAGAGCCTGGGTTTCACCAGACATACTCTAATGTCTAAGCCTTATAAGGTTGTTTATAGATCTGAACTGATATTGGCAAGTACTGTATGCTTGCTTTCAAATAATAAGTTTTCTTAGCTGAACTGCTTGATTAACTTACAGGTTTCTTGAATGATGGAACCATACCAGAAAAATAATCTATCTCCTCCTCTTCTTCATTTTGATTGGTTGGTTTTTGAATTGTGGGATCTATCTTGATGCTGATTGGTGATCCATCTCCCCAGTCATCCCAATCTAAATCTATCTACAGTAAATAATCCACAATATATTCAATTGTAACATTAATGTGATCATCCTTTAATTATGTAAATTCTAATAATTATTGGGACGAATTACCAATAACATCGTCATCCGTATGAAGTTATTATTATAAAATAAATGAAAATCTACAATAAATATTATCAGGATGGTAAACATTGTCATACAAAATCATCCATTATCATTACTTTCCACATCTCAAGTCTAATCAGACATTATCATCATCTTTAATATCCTCATAATCACACCATATCACAAATCATTACATCAAATGTACAGTACTTACCTCATTTTTGCTTAACGTATCAGTGTTCACTGGAATGCCAGGATCACTGTTGGTTCTTTTGTGACCACTTACAAAACACATGGCCCTCTTCAACAGTGATATTAAAAATGTAAAGCAACAACATAATCTGCTTAGATTCAATTGTACTATTTTCATCATGAAGTAACTGTGGATATAATTACACCAAGAATAAAAATTACATACCATACCAGTAACTACATTTGTTGAGCTAAAAATAATAAAGACATTGAGTAGCTTCACCTATTTAAGTAGGTACTAGCTAATACAATGTAAAATTTGAACAAGATAGTATTTTTACACACAACAGACCAGTAGACCACATCACTTACACAGTGGTTGTTGTGGGCATGTTTTGAGCCACTGATGCAATTTTAAACAATGCACAGCATGCAAAATGTGCAAGGTTCTTCGACAATTGTACCAATATTTCACCTTATCTGCACAAAGTCAACATTCACAAAGATTTTAAAAGAAAGGGAAAAAAACTGTCCAAGGTACCATCTCAACCCCTAAGCTTTTACACTGCTGTGTTCTCAAAGAATCTGTCCTTCGCCCACTTTTGTTTTCTTGGTATATCTCACCAATTGCCAACATCTTGCACTCTTATGAAATTCAGTTTCAAATATATGCTGATGACATTATTCAGATTTATATCCATTCAATCCTTACTAATATTTTCCATAAACTTGAAAAATGCATTTCGGAAATCTAAACTTGGATGACTAGCAACATGCTAAAGTTAAATACTAACAAGACTGAATTCACTATTTTCTTCTCCAAGTTTCTTGTGTTGAAACCAGAATTTCCTAAATATTGGCTTTTATTTGTATCTCCTCCATCCGTTCTCTTTTTTCATATTTATGCTGATGTGTATTTTTGATGCTTAATAAATCGTATCGCATTGTATCGTATCAATAATTAAATCTTCTTCTACTGTTCTTGGTGTTGTCTTTGATGGGCATCTTAACTTTCAACGAACATAATTAGCTCTGGATGCAAGACTGCCAATTTTCACAAGCTGACTTGTGGCCGCCGAATTGACTTGTGGCCGCCGAATTGACTTGTGGCCGAGTTGACTTGTGGCCGAATTGACTGTAGCCGAACATTTGTCCAAGTTGACTTGTGGCCGAGTTTGACTTGTGGCCGAGTTGACTTGTGGCCGAGTTGACTTGTGGCCGAGTTGGATCGAATTCGCCTAGGCCCTAGCTGGCCTACTAGGGCCTACATCATCGGCTAGGCCGTAGGCCTAGCCCTTTAGCCTTCCGAAGAGACTAGGCCTACTACTTTTGCTTACTTAAATCATTCTGTTTTAAAAGGTAAATTATTAGAGAGCTGTCCTCAATTTATGATATTTACGGTATGATGTTGATCACTTACCGAGCTAGGCCTACCCTGTTCAGGATCTTACCATCATCATCAATTTTCAAAGCTCTTGCTGCGCACACACGTACACAAGCAGCGAGGCTTGACTCTGCCACGCATTGCAAAAGCAGCCAGGGTTCGCACAAAACAGTGACATATCAGGCTCTTCCATTTTTTGCATGAGGTAAAAATTTGTGGATGTACCATCGCGTCATTTTACGTCAACTCATGATAATTTGCGTGAACTATCCGCGTCAACTTATGGTAATTCGCGTTAACCTGACTGTTATCAATTTTGAGCATGCGTCAACTACTCTATCTGTAACCATTAGCAATCATCGACGCCGTTATGGCCGATGCTTTACTTTTACGTGCTTTGAAAGGGCAACCAAAAAGCTTGAATTTATCGTCCAAAAATCTATTAAAAGTCCCGAAGCTTATTGGAAAACTACAGGGTTTGAATAATCTACAGTTAAAGAATAATAAAATCCATGATCTTCCTGTTGAATTTTCAGCTCTAACCAAGGTAAATAGGCTGACTGAGCAGCCCTAGCTAGCTAGCTGGGTGCAGGTCAACTCGGCCACAAGTCAACTCGGCCACAGTCAACTCGGCCACAAGTCAACTCGGCCACAAGTCAACTCGGCCACAAGTCAACTCGGCCACAAATCAATTCGGCCACAAAAATTTCGGCTTCTGCCAACTCGGCCACAAGTCAACTCGGCCACAAATCAACTCGGCCACAAGTCAACTCGGCCACAAGTTATGTAAAGTAAATCTAAGTTTTTGCATCCTTTTTCTTCAATATTTATTATTTATATGGTACTATAAATATATGTACTATATATATGTGTTTTGTGGCCGAGTTGACTTGTGGCCGAGTAGAACGTAGCCAATTTTTTTGTGGCCGAGTTGACTTGTGGCCGAGTAGAACGTAGCCAATTTTTTTGTGGCCGAGTTGACTTGTGGCCGAGTAGAACGTAGCCAATTTTTTTGTGGCCGAGTTGACTTGTGGCCGAGTAGAACGTAGCCAATTTTTTTGTGGCCGAGTTGACTTGTGGCCGAGTAGAACGTAGCCAATTTTTTTGTGGCCGAGTTGACTTGTGGCCGAGTTGGATCGAATTCAGCTAGCTAGCTAGGCCCTAGGCGAGGAGCGAAGCGAGCATTTTTTTAGGCTGGAGCCAAGCGACCCGGTGTAGGTGCAGGCCAGATGGCAAATACCCATGGAAGCTACAGATCCTAGGCCTAGGCCACTTGTCGAGGTTGCTTCCATCCACGATCATTGACACAATATTAAATTATTGACATTGACACAATAAATAAATTATTAAGAATATTAATAGTATTAATAATTAATATTATTTAGGCTTAGTAGGCCTAGTCTATGCCTAAACAAAGATTAAATTAGATGTGAAATTTTGTTTAAATATCTTTTGTTCCCTATCAACACCTTCTCTTTAATTCAATTAAAATATGTTCATAATATACAAAAATTTATTTTTTTGAGTTTGCTAAGCCTAGGCCTAGCCTTCCAAAGCCACCAATTTTAATGTTAATATGTTTTTTGTATCACAATTCACAGCTTGTTGCATTGAATATTGGCAATAATAATCTAGAGGAAATACCTGAGTTGTTGGGCCAGCTACATAGTCTTGAGACCCTTCATTTATTTGGCAATAAAATTCAAAAACTGCCAAACAAAGTTCTAGGTAAGTGTATTTTAATTCAGTTGCATTATATATTGCCAAATAAATATATTTACGGTAAAGATGAATATTAAATACACAATTTTCAACTAAATTATTAAAATAGAAGGAATAGGAGATTTAAAAAAAAAAAAAAAAACATTGGCACAAAATAAATTAACTTTAAAGACATTTTTAATTGTACTGTACCAGTAAGTTTTAGTCACAGGACCAAAGTGGCATTGTGAGACTAAACTATAACCAGAATTAGAATTAAAACATTTAAAATGTTCAAGTGTACCTAATACTGTACTTCATAATAATCTACTTGCAACTACGCGGAACTATGATACCTATGCCCACCTAGACTTTAAATATATTTTAATTAAATTTGCATACAGGTGGCCTAAGAAATTTGACCTTTTTGAATCTGAATAACAATGATTTGAGGACAGTGACACCGACAATAAACAAGTAAGATTCTATTAATAACTTTGTGATTTATGCAAGCATTTGTTTTAGTTGAAAACACATGTAATCGGATACATACAAATACTATCATGTTCCTAGTTTAATATACTTTATAACAACTATCAAATGTGGTTATATGACAGGTTGGTGAACCTACAGTACCTGAGTCTGGATGGCAACAACTTGACCAGTCTTCCTTCGGAACTGTGCGCCATCAGCTCTTTGACTGAGCTTCATGCCGCCAACAACCAATTGACAGCTCTTCCGCTTGAGATCGGCTTCTTGGTGAACCTAACAAAACTTTATTTACAAAAAAATAAAATCAGGGAGCTTCCTGAAGGAATTGGCAAGCTTTATAATCTGCAAGTCATTGATGTAGCTGCTAATGATTTGAGGATATTTCCAACTGAGGTACGACAGAGAATTCAAATTAGGAACATAGATTGTTTGTTCTTAATCTCGTATTCATTTTTGTTTTAATCTCAAATATATCAAATACAAAAGATATACATGTAAAATATACTTTATTTGAACATTTTTATTCAGGATTTTATATGTTACCAAATGATTAGAACTTAACAGACACACTTTGCTTTGTCAAATATGTAAATAGTGTAATGTCTTCATGTACACTGGGCCATTTCTACCTTTTTATGTTGTAGTTGTGCAAACTAGAAAAAATGCCTCTCTATTTTCCCAAATAATTTACAGTATTTAATCCACAGAGTTATCACATATATGAAACCAACAATTTTATGTCCCATCTGAAGGGTGATGTAATAATTTGATGCAAAGATCAGCATTAGGAGCATTCAAGTAGGTTTGCAATTATTAATCTTTGACTGTTTTCCCCGCAGTTGCACAAATTGCCATTACAGGAGCTATACTGTGAAGAGAACCCTCTTATTGATAGGCTGCCTATCCAATCTGTACAAGAAGAAGAAGTTTTAACATTAAAGGTAAGGTTAAAGTAAACTAACACATTAATTGTTGGAATTGAATCAACTTTATTGACTAATGCATTAAATTAATTATTAAGACAAATCACAAGGTCACTGGAGGGGTTGTTATTGACTCTATAGTATTGTGTAGAATTTTGTAGTTTTGAATGAATGCTGAATTTCATACATACTCTTCAAATGGAAGAAAAAGAAAAGGAACACAAAGATAGAAATAATGCCAGGCAAGGGAAAAACTAGTCCATCCTACCACCCCCTCCTCTCAATTAATAGATAATAATTTAAAAATTTGTTATATAATATTTAAAAAATATACAAGTAAAAAATTTAGAGTTTGTTAATGTATGTTCATCATTAAACATGTTCACTGTTCTTTTGACTTTGAAGGAAATTTGCGCCAGATTTATTATGGCAGAATTGAAAACAAGGTTAGTGTTCTGAAATAATTCCATTTTCTAATTTTCTAAATTATATGCTAGCTCTACCAATCTATAAACAATATTTATAAGAAATGTAATTCCTGTCATTGTGTTGTTTACCGTGTACCTGATCGTCTCTTATCCATTTCTGTTCTGTAGTTTGCTTTTCTGTTTACTATAAGGCATAGTTTACTTTTTCAACTTGCTAATTAGAGGCTAATTATTGTTAATGAGCAGTTAATATGGAGAATAGTTTTCAATTTGGCAACACTCAATGAGTATTTGCCAACTATTATTGTATCAGCAATTGTTGGTAATGATTTATATGGCGAGCCTTGACCTTTGTCATTATTGTAATGCACGTATGGTAGAGCTAATTAAATTAATATTGTGAACTGGAAAAGTTAAAATTATTTAAATTCACCAAAACCTTCTGGGTTTTTTATCTTTTCGGGATATCAGTTAAACAAAGCCATTTTATCTACATTTCTATTCTAAGGGAATTTTAGATTGCCTCTTTCTTGTTTTCAATGTTACTATTATGAACATATTTTCAAACAGCTTAAAGCATGGTTCCAGGTGTTACAGTAGTGTTAGTCAGAGCATTAGAAGTGCACTGAATACCCCAAATTGGAATACTCTTGGAGATAGCCCAGTAGATGACAGGTACAATCCACAGTGCACAGTATTTGCCGTGGTGCCCAGTAGATTACAGGTACAATCCACAGTGCACAGTATTTGCCGTGGGGCCCAGTAGATGACAGGTACAATCCACAGGGCACAGTATTTGCCGTGGGGCCCAGTAGATGACAGGTACAATCCACAGCACACAGTATTTGCAGTGGGGAGGGAGGTGGATGGGGTAATGCAGTGTCAAGCCAGCACAGAAAATTGATTTATTCTAATTTAACATTCCACTGGTGTTACCAATATTTGATGTGTTACATTGCACTGTTTATTGATAGTATAACTCTGTTTATTCACCTGTATTGTTGAGCTCTATTATAAAAGACTTAGTTTAGAATGAGAAAGGTATACAATTACTTTTTGTTACATTCTACAAGGACAGTGATGGATTCAAATGGAGCCCAGTTGGCCCGGGTACCCTTAAATGTTTCAAAATTATTCTTATAAATGGGGAAAAAAGAAAATTATATTCAAATATTTATATTTGAATATAATTTCCTCTTTTTCCCCATTTTCTAAAGTCATTGAGTACCCTTTCCGACCATCTAGAGTTGCGATAATGATAATTTTACTTGCCTCAGTCCCAACCATGGTGGGATTGAGGTTGGTCAACCCTCTATCGAGGGGCAGATTTGGGGGCCCAGGCCCCTTTTGGAAATTTAAAAAGAAAAGAAAAGAAAAAAAGAAAAAATTGATGCCCAAAATGCCTCAGAGGTTATTTTCAGGTGTCTAGAAAACAAAATTTTGCAGGGGGCATGAGTAGTGTTATCTCAATCGGGCCCCCTCTACTGTATTTCAAATTCCCGGATCTGCCACTTAAGGAGGTATAAATTACATAAAAAAAAAAAAAAAGGCAGGTGAAGCATTAAAGTCCATCTAAAATGACATATTCTAGTTACTTTTAAAATGTAATAAAACAATAAAGAATTATATAATAAACATATCGGTGGCTTTCCTTTTATTTTTAGATAAAGCGTTTTTCTGAAAAATGAGTTTTAAATCACCTATGTTAATGAATTCTGTATCGTTAAACTCCGCCTTATGAATCTGACCCACATTTGACCTTTAACGGATATGACATACACTCGGTACAACATAACACAGGATGTTCGCGGGATCGCAAATCTTGGCAACACAAACGTATTAGATAGTAGGATTCACGGGTTTACGGGTGCAACCAATAACTCCATGTCAGCTAAACAAACCATATTCTAAAATGAGGACCTTGCTATATTTTCCCTGTTGTCAAAGCTTTATTAACCCTGTAGGCCTATAAATTTCTCCTGCACAAAATAACATTGCTCACATTTATAAAATGTATCTACAGGTGGTCGTATCTGAGGATTGCTATTCGACATTATCCTAGCGTGAAGGAAATGTTGGGCCAAGCAAGCAAGTGTGCTTTCTGTAACCGCTCATTTCTCAACACCTGGCTTGAATGTGTCACATTTGTGGATGCTAAAAAGGCAAGTTATGCATTATAATAACTTCATACAGTACTTAAGTATCAACATTTGTCCAAGTGTGGAATCTCAGTGTGGGTAGAATTCTTCAAATCAAAACAATGCTATTACAGTATAATCATAATATAAAATTTAAATTTCAATTAGTGATGTTATTATTATTTTATGTTTCTATTTAAAATGGTTTATAAAGTAAATTGAGATGTACTGTATATTCATTTCAAATTCAAATATAAAATTCATGTTGAAATTCTGCAGACCTTTACTTTCATGTATTTAAATGGTAATTTTATACCATTTCTAAGCTGAAATTTTACAATTACTTACAGGATCTGAAGACAATAAATTCTCCTGGAAGAATCCCAATAAGGGCTTTACTATGCTCCTACAAATGCTTCAATTCACCTGGACATCGTTACTATGGAGTTGCATTCCCATGACAACAAAGCTACCTGTTGCAGTGTCTTTAAAATTTGATCCAAAAAGAATATTCTTCCATCATTTGGGAAATAGATATACTGAACTGTTTTTTTGAACATGTATTTTAATTAATTTTTCAGTATTGTTTACTTGAATTTGATGAATTAGAATTTTAATACTGTATAAATATTTAATAATTTGAACTTATATCTTGAGGTGCCTGTTACTACAGTACATATTAAAATATTGTCATGCTGTGGTTATAGTATTATTACTGTAGATATCACTGTACACAGGGAAATTAGTGTTTGACAGGGCAGCTATAAGTCCTTGGTCTTCCAATTGAAATCCAATGACAGAATACAGGCTAACTCGTACACATGCCTCTTACCCCAATGACAAGACAACCATGCAAATCTTAATAAATACAGTAATAAAAATAGACACCCACCATATCCATCAACACTTGCATGTATCTATTACAACTGTATTATAAACGACAACGTTCATCTTATCCTGCAGGCAGGAAATTTGCTCAAAGTATTTTGTAAACTGCATTTGCTATTCCATTGAATGAAATCATCAAAGCAAAATAGAAAAAAACATGAAAATTGTATGCCTTGAAACACAAAGCCAGGCACAGGAAAAATTCAATTGATACAGTACATTTACTAGAAATATTTATTAAGCAAAGGCGATTTTAGTATACAATTTAGGAATGTAAATGCTAGATTATTAAATACAAATTACTATGTGTATTCAGATGCCATTGGTTTTTTCTTTTAGTCTTTTCAGTAACTTTGTGTACAGTATGAAGAATTTATCCCATCCATTAATAGGCTAACAGGCTATTAGGTTTGCTTTCTACCACTAGAATATTTGGCTGGCATTTCCTGTGAAAATCCTTTAAATTCAGTTCACTACTACTACATACCACATATTACAGGCTGTAATTTTTTATGTGCTGTCAGTATGTTAACAATGTTTAAAAATTCCTGAACTCTAAAGGCATGAATCTATTACACTTGATGTTTGCATTGTATATTGAATATCCATGTACAGTATAATTGACAACACCATTAACATATTGTACTGAATATGTCTATCTTGAGAACAATTGAACATTTGAACTCCAGCATTATCAGACCTGTAACATTTCAGCATTAACGACCCTTGAACCTTCCACCACCAGTTTTTGCTTTCTTTTTTGCACTACCATTTTTTGTATCAACCTGCAATTAACAAGATGAGTTTAACTGATTAATGATTAACACTATTATTTATATATATTTAATAAACATTATTTTAAGCAAATCAGTTTGATAATTATGCGGTAATTATGTTATGTTATTGCTTCTGAAATGTATTATTATTATTACACCTGAACACATACTCAGCATTCTAAGTATGTTTTCCACAACATTGCAGCAGCTAAGCATTTGTTTCCCACTTGTACTTGGTGGAGTGAGAACATAGTGGATAAAGTGCCTTCTCCAAGAAGATGTGATATGCACAGAGAGGATTTGAAGCCCTGACCTTAAGGTGGAGAGTCAAACTGTTGCACCACTAAAATGTGGGAATACAAGAATTAAGTATATTGAATTCGTTATTATGGTTCCAAAACGTGACATTTAAACCTACCTTGCGTTTTTTTGGTTCTACAGTGACTTTGAAAAAACTGTCTAATCTACCCTGTGTGCTCCCCTTCCTTGCCTTTGTCAGCTTCTTGCATGCATTCCTAACACGCTCTTCACTGAAAGAAAAATAGCAACAATTAAAAACAAGAGATGATGGGTGTTATTTTGGAATTTGGAAGTATCGCTAATTTAATAAGTTATAACTTCCAATGAGACACAGTTTGGAACAATTCAGAAGTTCAATCAATTAATCAAACCACAATGATGACTTATATAGCTCGTTTTAATTTCCAACTGAAGATTAGAAGCCCACTTACCTAAATCCTTTCTGTGTGCAGAGAAACTCCACAACAGCTTCCTCATCAGGGTCAGTCCACTTCAACTAAAATATTAAAAATAAGAAAATACATAAAACACATTTAATATAAATAATAATTGTGATTTTTTTTTAACACTTGTGTATGAACAAAATTGAATATCAGTAGGGTTCTTACATTTTTACAGCGTACACTAAATGGAATATATTGTTCGTGTAAAGTACAAGACAAACTAAACCAAAATAGAGATAATAAGTGTCATCAAATACATGATACAATAATAATTTGAGAACATGTCAGTAAAGGACAAACACGCTGAGGGGTGAAGGGTAAATCCTCCTCCACAACCTCATCTTTAAGTGTTCTTACATCAAATGTGGATCCTTCTTCTACATCAGGATTTTTAAAGAGCTCTCTGGCTTCCTTGTACAACCAGTTCTCTGGTGGTGGGTATTTCTACAAAAGTAAAAATTAACATTTTACTGAATGACATCATAAATTTTAAGAAGCAATTTTAATAACTATAATTGTAATACAGTTTTGTCAAAAACTATCATATTCTAAATATATTAATCATTAAGAAAAGTGACATTGTTCATAATACTTGGAGTGACTTTCATAGTAAAAATCTGTGCATAGATTCATGCAGCAAAATTAATTATAATAATATTCATATCATATCTGGAGGCAAAATAGTACTACAGGAATATAAATCCCTTCATATTATCTTCACCTATGCTAAGTAGTAATAGTATCTATAAAAACAAATTACTCAATTTAAAACTACTGTATTTCCTTTGAAAGATGATCAAGAATGTGACTTACATCTTTGACCTTCTCAATAATGTCTTCAATACACTTGTGATCCTTGATCAGCTGAATCGCCTTTTTCGGTCCAATTCCACGGATAGACTCGCAGTAATCACAGCCCATCAAAATACAAAGATCAATGAACTGTTACAAGTAAAAATATATATTATTAAATATTAACAATAATTGTTTTTAAGAATAATCAGAGCATATTTTCATTACTTCTGCTCTTGTATTGTCATTTTAACTTGTTAAAATTGGCGTTTTAATAAACTGTACATCAATTATTTTCATTTTTTTAGATGACTGATTTTGTACTTTAACATTTTTATCTCATTCTCCACTGCTTTTATCTTATTATTCAATAGTTGCATCCAAAATGGTATTTACACATTTATTTGAGGAGAGAATTTAATTTTCAGGTCATAAAATAATCTTACCTGTTCTTGAGTCATCTCTAATTCTGACAAAGCCAATGGCAGTTGGTACTCCACTACTGGAAGTTTCCTGTCAACATTCAATAATATGTTATTGTAAGTTTATCAGCTGTGTTGGTAATATATTTCAATTATATAAAGCAATAGCCAAGCATTTGCTAACTTTTGTTTGATTTTCTGGGGCCCCAAGATAAAAGTGAAAGTAAAAAATAAGTGTAAATATACTGTTGGTGATAAGTTAAAATTGTAAAACTTCAAATGATTGTTTTTTAGTCCATATATTAACTTTTAATTAAAGTTATTTTCTTCAGTAATAAGACCCTAAAATATGCTGGTAATAATTTTTTGTGATTTGTGAATACAAACAACAATTCAATCATTTTCTTACATTTTACACCAACAGCATATAATTAACATATAATTAACATAAATTGTTAATATATGGAACAATTACAGACCTCTAATGTCTGGTAAAACTGTTGATACACAAGAAGTAGAAGAGGTCATCTGACAACACTATTACTGGGAGTGTATATGTCATTATACTCACTGGGATGGCAATAGTGTATAAGGATAATCACATTCTATACATGATTGATGGAATTAACGCTGGCTCCATACTACAGTATTAATTGTGCAGACCATACTTCAAATTTGTGCAAAAAAATTGCTAGGAAAATAAGTGCATGGAATTGTTACTAAGATTACATCATGGCCTAATTTTTGGAAAAAACCTGCACGAAAATTGGCCCTTATTTTCCGAAATGAAAATGAAATGATTTTTAGGACTAATTTCTGTGTGGAGAATATATTCCCTGCACAGGCCTTATTTTACAGTCTGGCACTGGCTTATACTAAATGATCACATGAAATAAACCATCCAAATTACTTACTTTGCTTCACTGGATGTTAGATGTCTCAACAATACATTAGAGCCAAAGGTAAGGGCATCCATATCCTCTGTACCGACAGCGTACACTTTACCAGCCTTAACCAACTCTGCGCACTGGGCCTCCGCTTCTCCAGGTGCCTAAATAATTTGTAAACACAACTCAGTATAATGTCAGGGAATATAACATGTGCATAACTGACATGTAATATTATTACAAATATATAGGCAGGTAATGGAAGAAACACAATATACAAAACCCAAAAGACAACGGGCACAAGAATCCAAAATTGAATGAAGTCCCATTCCAAATAATCTAACATCAATTTCTATTAAAAAATTTGTATGATATTCTATAAATGTAAAAAAATATGTAATAAGTATATACTTATATCAGGGGGTCTATAAATAAATCTTTTAAAATTATTAACCCCTATAATACTTGCAAATCTTGTAATTTATTTGGTCACTACAATTTGTAATTAATTTCAATGAACTTATTGTAATTATATTTTAATTATCTTTCCTTTTAATTGATTGTCTTTCAATATTGTAGATATTGAATTTAAAACTTTTAGTTGATCTGTATTGTATTGTAATAATGTCGAATTGTATATTATAGTTTGTTAGGTAATTAATAATATCCATATTGTCTCTAATAAACGCCCCGGGGCGTTGCATTTTTTCAAAGGGGGGCGTTTACTAGAGGTGAATTGTGAAATCAAAAATTACCTAAACAAGCTGCTTTAAACGGTCAATAAGTTCTTTATTTGTAGAGGAACAAGTTAATGTGCAGGGTATCGCCAGGCCTCCTGCTATTTTGCTGTTCCTTCGTTTGTTGCTGGTTATTTGAACATCAATAATTCCTTGTGTTTCAAAAAGAAATGAAATATTTTCGGTAAATGTCCGACGATGCAGCGCGGTGCTTCTCCTTTCACAACAGCAATCGCGTGCTTGTCAAAAACATGTCGGCCTCATGAACTAGCATCGCACCACCGCACGCAAAACATCTGCTCTCAACTTGAAGAAACATTCTCACTACGGTATAGACTTCATTGACCAGACACCTTGAATCAAATCAGCGTTGAACACGCGACACATTAACAATACACGATTACCCGTCGTTTGCCGTCAGTTTGCAGCTTACCCTGTTTTTACAAGGCTAACGAAATACCATAAGAGAAACACAAAATAGGCCTAGGCCTAGTGATCGTGAAGACAGTAAACATCAAACGTTTAGGGTAAGCTTTTTTGAGTAGTATTTATTTCATTTCATATCAAAGAAAGCAGCACACAGTACGGTATTACTCCTTGTTTGTCAACCTTTTTATGGACTGGATACCCATGTTAATTGATTGGGCATTCATTGCAAAATGAAGAAAACTCAGAGGGGGCATTTATTAGATGAGGGGCGTTTATTAGAGACAATACGGTTTATTTTTGACTGAATTTTCCAATTTTAATTATTTTAACAATGTAATTAATTATAAGTATATTTTTGTAGTTTTTCTATATAATATTTTTGTAATTTGATTGTATAATGCTGCCTGTTTTATATTGTCAATTTTTATGTAAAGCACTTTGAACAGAACCCTGAAAATGCGCTATATGAATTAATATTATTATTATTAAATCGATGATGCACACTGACGCATATACCCTAGTGGGGTCCTCTGTCAGTATCGATTCAGATTCAGGGAATCTGAATATAATGTTGTTAAAAAACTTTAAATTTAAGAAAAATAAGATATCTTAGGTGATGATCATTATGATAATCATTGTCACAATGTCAACAAGAGACAAAGTCATTTAAATTAATGACAATACATATCAATGCAATCTTACATCACTTCTTACCTTAACGAAGGGCACTCCCATGCACTTCAGTAACGTCTGGCATTCCTCATTATGGATGGGGCTGACACGAACCAGTCGACGTTCAAATTTATTCATTGTTTCTACATCTCCTTCTGATTTAGCTTTTTCAAGTTGTTTTTCTGCTTCCTCTCGACGCTCTTTGCGTTTTGTTAACTCACCTGATTTCATATCAGGGGGCTTACCATCAAAAACGTACAGTGGTTTGATACCGTTTTCAATCATTCTGATCGTTCTGTAGAACATTCCAATGAGATGGCTGCAAAAACATAATTAGACTATGTGACAAGAAGTTGGTAAGCATACTTTGCTTTAAAACAAATGAGCAGGTAAGTCTTAACCACTAATCTCAGAGATCAATATCTTGGGATCTATTGTTTACACTTAGCCAGTGGCTTACATACATTTCCCAAAATACAAAGCTATAAAAAGACTTAGCATCTAATGTCTAGATAAAACATATCAATGATTGATTGATAGTTAAAAGGATTATCAATCGAAATTCCACTTTTGGCCACTTTTTACTAAAAAATCTTTCATACGGTTGTGCCTGGTTCTAACAAGATGTTAGATAAGCATGAATTCAATCCAATGGAAAATCCTTTGTTTATAACATTACTACAAATTTGGATGGACAAATATAATAGTAATGATTAAATCTGATAAAAAACATTTAATAACTATAATACAGTAACAAATTATAACAATAACTAAATAATAAAAACTAAGTTTCCCTAGTATAATAAGCATCAAAACCTGTAAGTGGATATTTCCGGATGAATATGAAATGAAGATAAATAAAAAAATAAATTATAGATATTTACCTTGTGGTTTCTCCATCATCATTCGTCAATTGAGAGCCATCCATCCTGACGGCAATCAGAAACTGATAAATACACATGGATGCATCAATCGCAATCTTTCTTCCTGATCATTGGGAAAAAAATTAATGCATACTGAAAGATTCTTAAGTGATCAATTATTAATTTAGTTGGAAATACACATGTTTGACCAAATTTTATTTATTTTATTCACAAATCTTAAATGAATATTCACAAATCTTGAAAATTATGATGCTGGAATAAATTTAGTTTAGTAGTGCGCACTTTATTAATGATGTCAGTGTACTTGAAAAAGGGGCCCTAGTAATTACTGACACCTGGAAAGATAAAAAAGGGCCTAGTTTTCCCATCCCAGCCATTTCTGGCCAACTAGAAGTCCCAATTTTTAAAAAAAATCTCATTTTGGAAGAAGGGGACACCACCTCCACCCAACCCTGGCTCTGGCCTTTGGCCCTCAGATAAAGATAACGCTGCGTGCTATAGTTACCCCCATAAATACTTAGCCACCCCTCCCCCTCCATAAATCATATGCTAGAGCCGCCACTGGTGGGGCACGCACCTCAGCAGCGTCCATCCAGTCGCCAGAATTTTGAGTTGCAGGGGTTGGAACATCTGCATACTTCACAGTACACTTCCATCCATGGCAATGAACTCTCATATATCACTAAAAAGACATCTACAAATTCTCTTTTGCTATAGCTACTCGGGAAGCTGCTGTACCGTGTGTAAGCCTAGAAAAGAATAGCCTGGACTGGCTGAATTGAGGAAAGGCATAGCCTATCTTACCTAGGGCTGGGCCTAGGCTAGTTCTAAAGTAAAGGCCGGCGATGGTTTAACGACGACATAGCCTGGTCCTAGTAAGTAGGGCTAGGCCTAACGTTACATTTAATCTAACATATAAATTACAAACCGAAGTAATTCTTTATTTCATGTTCTCTAAGGGCAGAGGGTGCAAAATCTGCAAGGAAACGTGCAAGACCAAGAATACCCATTTCGAATTTTGACAGTACCAAAGAGAAGTTACTTCGCTGTTTCGCGCCACTAGGTTCGTGGCCAAGAAGCAAGTAAAGCTTAAGAGGGCGGGCTACCTAAGTTGATAAACATAATAAAAAAGATGGCTGCCTACAGAGACGACGGTTTTGTTGGCACTATTGCCGAAGATGATGATATTTCCCTTCCTTCAGAAGATACAAGTAGTGATGAAGAGGTTAGTTTCAATAAAAATTACTGTATTCTTTATTAGAACAACAATTTGAATTATTTCCCTGAATGTAGGCCTGACAGTCACGATGACTCTTGGTTGGCACAACACATGACATGCATGTGCCATCCCATGCATGTGGGACTGGTGGTGGGTGGGAGGGATGGATGCGGGCTAAACTAGACAGGCATAAGGACTAGAGGGCCTAGGCCTACCGTAACATTGTACTGAGTAGTACTAATTGCTCTACTCTGTTGTTTTGGATATTGAAGAGATATATTATCAATAAATGTAAAACATTTCAGTATTCATTGTTTAAAATTATAATGTTTTAATAATAAAAACTACGTCTACTACAACAATTTACAAACAAGGCTGAAGCCGCAACAGCAAGATAGCAAATTCCTAGGTCTAGATTTAGATCTAGATTTTATTGTGCACATTTCTCTTTTTTCTTTCCTTTTTGTAAATTGTAATTTATTATTCAGTGCTTTCTTAATAATAATATTAAATAAAATTGAATTGGTATAAATAATTATTTTACTTTTACTGCTACAAGATCCATCAGTTTGGCCATTTTGTTGAGGTGAAATATAGTGCATATGTGCACAGATCAGTGACATTCAACCAAATTATGAAGACAAGCAAATAAATACAATAATTCTGGTGACTAAACCTAAAAAAAAGTGTCAACCATGCATTTTACAATATATCATGTTTTCTCAAAATTGGTAGAATAACAATTATTTATTTTGTAACACATAGGCAGTTGTTCCAAAACAGAAATTGAAGAAGAAGAAGAAGAAGGTCAACAATGGATTCTCAACTAATTTTCAATTTGATGAAAAAGCTGTAAATAATCATTTTTGGGCAGATGATTTCATAGAAGCAGCAAAGCCAAAAGGAATTGTGACATCAACTCTGGAGCAAAAAATTGCAAAAATAAGGAGAGAAAGGAAGAAGGTTCGATATTGATTTTATTAAAAGTTTACTATGACTCCTGGAAAGTTTGTTTTTATGATAACTGATAATACATGCCATGTCAAAATGTTACATTAATTATTAAAACAAGTATTTAAATTCATCTTGTGCTAATATAAATCTATATTATCATAATGAAGAATAAAAGGTAAAATTGAATTAGATTTTTCAAGTTTTAATTAATTATCATGCTTAAAGTGTTACCAGCTAATTACATAGTTACAGTGTTATACATAACCAAACATTTTTGTTATATATGTTTATTATAATTTTGTAGCTTCCTCTGCTTGAGGGTCTATTCTGACTATATAGAAATCACTGATAATGTATTTTTTTCCTGTTTTCAGAAAGAATCTAAAGAAGAGGAAAAAGTAGATGATGCAGAGAAAGATTCAAGCGATTCAAAAACTGAACAGATGTCAGATGATGATTCCGACTTAGACAGTGATGTTGAAACAAATAAAGACATAAAGATAGACAAGATAAGGAATAAAACCACTAGTGAGAAAAGATTAGAAAGAGAAAAGAAGAAAAAAGGTGATTATAATTTGTGAGATTTTATGACACAGCTTGATGAAATTTAAGCATGACAACACTGTTTTTATTTATTTGGCCAATTTTTATAGGACCCTTAACACATAAAAGATGAAGACAATTAAAGAAAGCACACAAAGAAAACATACACAATGAATAAGTGTAAATGGAAAGTTGTTTCACTATTTTTTACAGCTTTACAGATTATGTTGTCACCGAACTTGATTCTTTCTATATAATAATGAAATAATTTGATTGATTAATGACACAGGTGATGACAAAGAGAAGAACTTCTTTGAAGATGCCCCTGAGGTAAAACAACAGTCATCATTTGGCGACATGAACTTATCACGACCTCTATTGAAAGTAAGAAAATTTGTATCTGTAATTATCAAGTTTATCTTGTAATGATTAAAAATGATGATGATAATAATTTAAATTTGTTATGGTGCCATCTGTCAATAAATAAGTGCCTCTATTTCATTACTTTTTTTTTTATGATATTGCATTGACATCTAGGCTTTGAATGCAATCAAATTTACAACTCCAACTCCAATCCAGTCTAAGACTATTCCGATTGCACTGCTGGGAAAGGACATTTGTGCTTGTGCTGCCACTGGAACAGGTAAATCCTATAGTATTATTATTAATTCATTCGGTGGGCCACACACATAGGGTCTTTATTTCTTTTTCGCGGGTTGCAAAAATACATTGTCAGGCTGCACTTTGCTCACCTGTGTTGTATTTACTACAGTATATTTAAATATTAATTTTGCTTGCCTTGAATACCTCTTTGAGAAGAAAATAAATTAATGTAGATATGAAAATAGTGCCAGAAGAAGAAACATCACAGTGACAAGTAAATATATTAATTTTTGCAGGTAAAACCGGTGCTTTTATGCTACCGGTTCTTGAACGGCTTTTATACAAACCCAAGGAAGCACCTACCACCCGTGTTCTAGTTCTAGTTCCTACAAGAGAATTGGGTGTACAAGTTCAGTCCGTTACTAAGCAACTATGTCAATTTGCCAAAGTAGATTCAGTGTTAGCAGTGGGTGAGTAAATATTTAGTAGCTAATTTTGAATCTATCATGTGTTTTATGTTTAAATATCTTCATTTGCACTAATGTTCAGTGTTCTTTTAGACATGTGATTGAACTATCTAGTAATTTTGTGATTAGCTACTGTACTTCATCAATAATGTATAATGTGTGTATGTAGGTGGATTGGATATCAAGTTGCAAGAGGCAGCATTGAGAAAGGGTCCTGACATTGTGATAGCCACACCTGGACGTCTAATTGATCATCTTCACAACGCTCCTAACTTCAGTCTCAGTAGCATTGAGATCCTCATCCTTGATGAAGCTGACAGGTGTGTAATTGACAAATGTCACAATCTCCCGGTTCTTGTCTAGTTCTACGCTCATTGAGAGTGTAAAAAACGATACGCTATACGCAGCCAGTGTATGACGCCTGCTGACGCTTGTAGGTACTTTATTACCCAGTACTGCGCCGTGCATGATGGTATGACGATAAAGAAAAATAAAGAAATCTACCGCTTCTACAAAAGTATTGTCTCATGTGGAAAACAGATACACACACAAACATACCCAATACTGGCTAATAAAGTACCTACAATCATCAGCGGGCATCTTACACTAGGAGTGACATACCGTAAAACAGATACACACACAAACATACCCAATACTGGGTAATAAAGTACCTACAAGCATCAGCGGGCATCTTACACTAGGAGTGACATACCGTAAAACAGATACACACACAAACATACCCAATACTGGGTAATAAAGTACCTACAAGCATCAGCGGGCATCTTACACTAGGACTGACATACCGTAAAACAGATACACACACAAACATACCCAATACTGGGTAATAAAGTACCTACAATCATCAGCGGGCATCTTACACTAGGAGTGACATACCGTAAAACAGATACACACACAAACATACCCAATACTGGGTAATAAAGTACCCACAAGCATCAGCGGGCATCTTACACTAGGAGTGACATACCGTAAAACAGATACACACACAAACATACCCAATACTGGGTAATAAAATACCTACAATCATCAGCGGGCATCTTACACTAGGAGTGACATACCGTAAAACAGATACACACACAAACATACCCAATACTGGGTAATAAAGTACCTACAATCATCAGCGGGCATCTTACACTAGATAAAACAGATACACGCACAAACATACCCAATACTGGGTAATAAAGTACCTACAATAATCAGCGGGCATCTTACACTAGGAGTGACATACCGTAAAACCTTGTATTAAAGCCCTGGGCTGCTTCTTTTTCTGCGAACTTTCGATGGACTTCTTTTCAAGATGGGCTTCTTTTCGAGATGGGCTTCATTTCGAGACTACTTTTGCAAATTAAAGAGGGGGGGTTTCTTTTCAAAATGAGTGCTGTAAATTTTGTGAATTTTTACTATAAAACAATAAATACGGCCACTGTGACATCAATCTGTATCATGGAGTGTATTTAACTGATACTAAATCACCTAAACTACTGTATAAACCAAGCTTGTTTTTATTTTCTTTGTTTTTTAAAAGTCATGTATATAGTGTATATACTGTACTATCTCGAAAAGAAGCCTATGCTATCTTGAAAAGAAGCCCATGAGATTCTTTTCGAAATGGGTTTCTTTTCGAGGCTAATTTTGCAAACTAAAGAGGGGGCTTCAATTCGAGATGGGCTTCATCTCGAGATTAAGCCCACTGGGTTTTACAGTATTTACAAACAGGACTCTGCTCTCCTGTTCTATTTATACTCTTTGATAATGTGTAAAGCAGGGCCATAATGTGTACAAAATTTTTAAAACAGAGTTACAAGATATTTATAAATAAAATGGGTGTTGCAGTGAAATTGTAAATGTTAATGATAATGATGATAATATATGTGAGCTGTCATGACAAAATGAGTCTTGTGGTATGCCAGATCAATTTGATATATTTAAGAAAATATATCTGAAGTGATATTTTGACAAAAATTGAGTTTCAGTTTTTCTAATAAGTTTAGTATATTTCATAGTAGCAAAACTCCTTCATGAAATGCATTATTAAAGTATGTTATATTTATTTAATAGGATGTTGGATGAGTTTTTTGAGGAGCAGATGAAAGAAATTATCCGCATGTGTTCAATTAGTCGTCAAACTATGCTGTTCTCAGCCACCATGACTGATGAGGTAAGTATTATGTCTTAAGTCTTCCCAAAAGGGAGAAGCTCTTGGCGATTCTTCTGTTGTTGGGTGTCATAGTATGGTGGTGGGTGGTGTGTATTAGTGATTATTAGAAACATAGTATTCAGCACTTAGGCTTCGGATGGATGAATTATGAATCTTATATGAATCCTCTGTAGGTTAAGGATTTGGCAGCTGTATCGCTCAAGAACCCAGTCAAGCTGTTTATCAACGAAAACACGGACGTAGCATACAACCTACGGCAAGAGTTCATACGAATCCGACCAAATTCTGAAGGTGATAGAGAAGCCATTGTAGCAGGTCTGTCTTATTATTACAGTATTAGTATTTAAAAATTAGGATTATTTTCTCTGAGAGAGATAATCACAAAATGTTTTTTTTTTGTCTACTTTTAGCCCTGTGTAGTCGTACATTCCATGATCATTGTATTGTGTTTATACAAACAAAGAAACAGGCTCATCGAATGCACATCATCCTTGGACTATTGGGTTTGAATGTATCTGAATTGCATGGCAACCTTTCTCAGTTTCAGGTACTGTACTCAATGTGATTTTTTTGTTTTTCATTTAAACACATTTTTAGATTACAACAGACAACACTATTCCCCAATGAGGTGCCTATTTATTATCATGGGTGAAGCAAGGCTAACACAGACAGTGTCATACCCAAGGGCACAAGCAATAAGCTAATGTCATGTCAATTGAAATAACAAAGCTTTACTGCTGCACCACACAGCTTCAATTTGTTTTACACTCTACAGCATACAGACCACTATATTTAAATGATTTTATAGATATCTGTTGCAAAACTAAGACAAACCCCCCCCCCCTTCCCAAGATGTGAAATATAAAAAAACTAAATTGCTTGCTCAGTTAAAGTTAACTTTGATTAGACCAGATGTCACCTTTTATGGATGATGATAAAATGTTTGTATATTTTTAACCATATGTAGTTTGTTTTATCTTTTGTAGCGCCTAGAAGCATTGCGAAGATTTAAGGAAGGACAGTGTGATGTTCTACTTGCTACAGATCTTGCAGCAAGAGGTTTAGATATTCCCGACGTTAAAACAGTAAGTTTATAAATTCATTAGATTTTTTCCCTTTATTACAGTATATTTGAACATTCAATGATAATTCCTATAAATTTATTAAGAATGTTTTTTTAATGTTTGCCATATTTGTAGGTGATAAACTTTACCATGCCAAACACACTGAAGCACTATGTACACAGGGTTGGTAGAACAGCCAGAGCAGGCCGCTCAGGAAGGTAAAGATGTAATAAATATATACCATTAACTTATGTGGCCTTAACAGTAACAGGTCAATCTTGAGCAAATTTGATCTGCTACACTGACATTTACATACAGTACTGGAGTTAAGTGTTAGCTCAACCTTGCATTAACATTGCAGCCTTTTTTATTAATTCAGATCTGTGACACTTGTTGGTGAAAAAGAGAGAAAGTTACTGAAGGAAATAGTGAAGCGGGCAAAGCAACCAGTCAAGAGCAGAGTTGTACCAGTAGGTAAGTGTTGCTAAACTCCTGTACACAGAAATCCTATGCCATTAGAAATGGCCAACATTTTGCATATCTTGCTATCCTTTTATAAATTATCAAATATTCATTATATTTTTGTTTGACAGATAAATGTATTTAATTAATTGAAAATTTCAGATGTGATAAAAAAATATTCAGATAAAATTGAGGGTATGGAAGATGATGTGGAGAGAGTAGCAACCATGGAGTTAGAAGAGAAAGAGCTTCGTACATCAGAGAATCAACTAAACAGAGCAAAGGCAATGCTAGACAATAGCAGGGCTACAGACAATCAAAAGAGAGTCTGGTTTCAAAATCATAAACAAAAAATGCAGTCTAAAGGTACATTTTGTATATTGATCATTAATTTATAAAATATATGTATTTGCCTAATTATTTTGTTGATGGTTTGTCTTCAATTTGTCCTTGATGATGATGGTAAATTACACAAGGCATTTCACACTACTTAAGCACACTATATTCTATTCATGGGACCATTGAGAGCACATCAGCATGTAACAGGCAGAATTGATACAAAAATTTGTCCTCTTCAAAAACTAGAATACATTAATTGTGAACTTAATTTACTTTTTAGTAATTGAATAAACAATTTTCCATCCTTTATTTATTTATATTTATTATTTTGTGTATTTTTTCAGTTAATCAAGTGTTAGACAAATCTGGTTTAGATAAGAAGTCAAAGAGGAAAAAAGGAGGAGGAAACTTCAAAAAGGAAAAGACAACTGTAAGTTGCATTGAGGAGCTTATTTTTGAGGATAAGAATTTTGCCTTTCCATCCCTGGGTCCTTGTTTCAAATTCCAACAACTACAAGCAACTGTACTTCTTAGTTTATGCACTGATTTATAGTGTATTACTTCTACATCTTCTAAGTAATGTGTAACTCGTGTTAGATGAGAATGGAATATAGTTATAGTAGATGATGTCTTATCCTATTTCCAAAATGTGGGCTTATTCTCTACAAACTGTATTTTTGCCTGTCTACTATATAAATTGAACACATAGAGCCGGACACTCACTACGCCAAATTTTGTCAGTTGACACGACTCCACGGAGAAGTAAACTTGGTCATTAGTGGCGATCCGCTCCAGCTACCATCGGCAGCTGCGATAACCTACATGCCTATTATTGATTACCATAATGTAATTTTTTTCTAAATGTTTGTGCATCTTTTCATTACTTAATTAGGCCGAAGGAAGAGTGATGGTGGAGATTGAAAAATCTCAGCTGTTTGCAGCCAGAGCAGCTAAAAGAGATCGGAAAGGGAAACGTCTACGAGCGCACAATGAAACAGATGGCCAGGCTAATCATTCCGGTAGCTATACAATTCTATTGTACAGTATACAAGAACCAAATAGACGTTACAGTATCTACATTTCTAAGTATTAAAATTTTAAAACAACAGGGGGTTAGGACTAAAAATATTCAATTTTGTCCATCCTACACCATAAAATCTTTCCCCATGAACCCTTTGCTTCCGACTCCAGTCACCATTGTTGCTGTAGTTAAAGCTATTTTATTTTCTCCATGGTTAAAGCATACTAAAATGCCAACTTTATTACCGATATTTGTATATTTTAAAAATTATATAATAAAAAATTATGACTTAATTTCTTTTAGGAACAAGAAAGAAAATGAAAATGAAGAAGACATCATTTGATGCTGAACTCACTGCAACTAGTAAAAATGCTGTCAAGCAACTTAGAAGCAAGTAAGTAAATATAGATCTTTAGATAACATAAGATTATGCAAAATTACTGAAGAGAAACTGTGACTGCTTGAGATAACATAAGATCATTTATATCGCTGGAACTATTATGTGATTACATTAAGTCACATGATATAATGCGAGATTAATATAAAACAAAATTGTCATTTTGTGACTTACAGAGCCAACACAAGTATTGCGGAGAAATCTAGACAAGCAAAGAAAACGGGCACGAAGTCATTTAAATCGAACAAGAGGTAGGTGACGTTAATCATTACTTAATAAATCAATTCTGATATATCTCCTGATGATTGACTGGTCTAGTTAACTTGAAAATGGAATGTGTTTGCACACTTTTTAGAGAGAAACATTGAAACAGTGTTTTGTTATTTGCGTAAACTTCATTTCTGTGTTTCTTTGTTAAAGGGGTAGTCAACCCTTCATGAGTTATAGATATTCTTATCTAACAAACTGTCCATAGTCATTTTTATTATGTAAATTGTGGTTGAATAAATAACCGAAATAATATGAAATGAAACCAGATGAACTATTTTTATCATCCATAAATGACTGGGTTTTTTTTTGTACATTTACAGGTACAAACGAAGGTAACATCAAAAGCTAGGGAGGACTTGAACAATAACAGTTTACAGTAGCTTCTCACTTCCTGTAGTCATATTTTATTGTTGGAATTGCCATACATAAATTCAGCCTTCGAGATGCCTGTTACTGTTGGTTAACACTACATGTTAACAAAATAGATCATGAAAGCAGTTGTAAACAGAAAGAATAAAAATTTAATTTTATAAAATCATATTTTAAGAGCAGTATAAGTAAATGTAGGCTTCTGAAAATAAAATTTGTAGATGTGTATAAGAGCATTCTCTAACAGAGATCTTTATTAACTGACTGCTATTGTAAATTATATACAGCATATGGCTCTATCAAAAACAGTGCAGAAATGTTGCCGTATTGAATTTCACTGTGTGAACTCATACAAATTGAAGTTCCTTATCGTTTCAATAAAGTTAAGTAACCTACTGTTTTAGCCCTCTTTTATATGGTGTATGGTGCAGCAATGGTAGAAATGTTGGTGTTGGTGCTACAAGTGAGACCATGTTGTCTGAAGCTGGATACACACCGGGTCTTTATGTCATTATATATACTATCAACAACAACATTCATATTATTATCATAGTATTGTCGTCTTCATCATGGTCATTATTCGTTCATATCGATAATTTTAGTTGGGGCTGAGGAGAGTAAATTTTAAGAATATTCCCCTCTAGACGCTCGGAAATGGCACTCTCAGATGGTAAAAATGTTTTTTTCAATGCAGTGTTCCTCCTCGACAAAATTATTGACTTCCCGACGGGAGATATGCTCCCTCTCTCTTAGACACCCCTTCCCTCACGGGCATCGCAAAGGTCTAATCAAGGACCTATAGTCTATTTTATACTGCTAGTCGCAAAGCAAATTATGATTATAGCACCTCTAGATGCCCGGAAATGGCATGCACTCATTCAGACTTTTACTTTTATCTCAGTTTTTTATTTTTTATTTTGACAAATGTAGGGGGTCCTGGCCGGCCGGCAGTGTAGATGGCTGGACCATCTACACTGGATTAATATGATATATATGTCTTATAATTCGATGTCAGAGACACACATTATGTGGTTATGTATCAACAAAGCCCCTTTAGCTCAGGGTGCTATAGAGCGAGGATTCTATGTGCAGGGGCACCACAGGGCTCCCTAAAGGTCGGTGGCATCGCGGACCCGCCGTACGAGAGGGCATACGCGTTACGCCAGGCTGAGCATGGATAGCTGTCGTAGCTGGGTACTGTCAGTGGCGTATCTAGGAGTCTTGAAGTAGGGGTGCTGTCTTTTGGCCTTTAATGGAAGGCCTGGTTTATGAAATAGTAGGGGAAAAAACGGCGTTTGGGGATATAGCGTAACGTTGTGTTCGTCGTCAGTCAATAGAAAATTTAAAATTAGTGAGTAGTAATCGAGCTCTCCTTTCGCCCACTGCTGGGTTCGCCACTGAACTCATGGGTACATTTCCTTTTTCCCCTCTTTCCTCCCTTTAACTCTTCTCAATTTTTTCTCTATATTTCTTATATTTTGGCGGGGGTGCGGGTGGAGTGGGTGCGCCGGATCCGCCCCTGCCAGGCCTATGACTTCCTTCCTGCTTCTGACTCTGTTTATGACTTTCGTAGTATCAAAACAAAAACACACAAAAAATTAGTAGAGAAAAAGAAAACAGGGACGGGAAAAAAGTGGAAAAGAGAACACTACAGACTGCAATTTGAATAATAAACAATACTGTACTAATGACAATTGGTTACAGGGCCACTGCTTGCCGTGAGTGTATAGTTCTTTATCATGTTATATATAATCCTATCCTATGAGAAATTTCACGTCTGTTTTTCAATATTATACCGTATCGATTAAAAAAAACCCTTTTTTAATTATATAAAAGGAAATTAAACCTATACGAACCTATAACAATTGACATAGGAAGGAAATTGAATGTCTATTTTCATAAATTTTAAATGAGCAGGTTGATGGTGCTGTCGCGCTATAAACTGTCGTTTCATTACCAGGAAAAATAGCGGGTCACTGCTTAGTCTGTAACACAAACTCAGTAACTTGTCAGTCACTGCTTACACCGTAGCACAATGTCTCAGAGGTTTATACTCTTATCATATCATGACACTGCTGAAGAGGCATCACCTGACGAAGGAACTTCTCTCTCTTATAATCGAATTCACTATGACACTGTTTCAGATACAAGTTTCTGGAAAGCGATAATTGCTGAATTCTTAGCCCTGGTTTTACTGGTGCCGCTTGGAGCCGGTTCATCAGTACCCTGGCTTGAACCAAATGCTCCAACAGTGGTGCAAATAGCTCTTGCCAATGGATTTATGATTGCGACTTTACTCCACTGCTTCACTGCCGTGAGTGGAGCACATGTAAATCCTGCTGTCACTATATCATTTGCGGTACATCGACAGATTAGCGTCTTGCGCTGTTTGCTCTACGTGGTTTTTCAATGTGCGGGAGCGTGTCTCGGCGCCGTTATTCTAAACGTCGTAACACCAGAAGAGGTCCATGAAAGAGCTAATGGTACCTTAGGATGCACTATTCTGGCACCTGAAGTATCGGCTGGTCAAGGATTCCTTCTGGAGTTCGTAATTTCCTTCCAATTGATCTTGACAATATTTGTGGCCGTTGACGAAGGAAGATTTGATTTGAAAGGTTCGGGTGCTCTTGCTGTTGGGTTGGCTGTTGCCTGTGGCATACTTTTTGGGGTAAGTGCTTAACAATTAAGTTTTAAGCAATTACATCAAACTTTATTCATAATCAGAATAAACAGATAACTGTAGGCCTACTATACGGTACTTAGAGAAACTAGTATGCAATTCATTTTACTTTATGTGTAGCTACCCTGGGCACTCATAAACTTAGTTTAATCATGTTTAATCTCGAACTAATGCTTTCAAATAAGTATATAGGTCCTGTCTCTTATACACA